AACCCCCCCCGTTCAAACTTCAAACCGGTGAAAAATGGGGGGAGGGGGAGGGGGGGGGGGGGACTCCGTCAAATTTGACGTCGATACCCCCTTTCCTACGGCAGAATGATGCTGTACTCATTTATGATCAAAAGCTTCCGGCACAACAACAACAACAACAAAAAAAACAAAAACAAAAAAAACAAAAAAACAGGGGCCACCACCTCAGAGGTGGAATGATATAAGCTATATCCAACTCCTGCTTTCAATCTGAAGTCTCTCGAGTCTTACGACTCTACAAAGCTCCCGGCGTCTCTGGATCTTGAAAAGGTGTCGTCGGTACCATAGGGAACATTAGACCGAAGGCGTACTCAAAGTAGCAGGTTTCTAGAATTGAAATGCATCTCACGGCAATTAGAGTCAGAAGACCTGGATGCATCTGACCACAATAACGACCAGAGCGGAGCTGAGTCGAAAAAGTACTAGTGCGAGTATAAACCGTGAGTCCTTAAGCATTGAAACATCTGAAGGCCACATCTCTCAGGGGCATACTCGCACTATCTCTATCTCACATGTATCTGACTGCATTCATGGCCAGACCTGGACGTACCTGACTGCAATTACCTCCATAAAAAAAAAAAGTTAAGTCCTAGTGTGAACACGCCCTGAGTCGGGACTCGAGAAGTTGACAGCGAATTACAGCTTGATGTATGCACCAATGATCAAAATTGCGGTTATGCCCTCTGAGCTCATCATTTGTGCGTCTGTGGCCACGCCTTCAGCTGCGAGTCTTTGCTTCCATACCCTCCTAGTTCCCAAACCGGTGCAGGTCGAAGCCTGTGCTGTGAGCCCTCATACTTCCACCCAAGCCCCAGGGGCCAGGTCCCTTGGGACGACCTGCTCGGATCAGGTCCCTCACAATGAGCTGCCGGGACCAGGTCCCTTGGGGACAAGGTGATCGGATCAGATTTCTCAAACTCGGCCGGACGCATGGCCCAGGTTCCTCAGCATGAGCCACACACACCATATCCCTAGCCCTACACAGGACTGGGTCCCTCAGCCTGGGACACATGGACCAGGTCCCTCAGCCTGAGCCAAACGGACCACATCCCATGGACCAGGTCCCTCAGCCTGGGACACATGGACCAGGTCTCTCAGCCTGAGCCAAACGGACCACACATCCCATGGACCAGGTCTCTCAGCCTGGGACACATGGACCAGGTTCCTCAGCCTGCGCCACACGGACCGCATCCCTGGACACATAGACGATACATATCCCTAGCCTTACACAGAAGGACTGGGCCCCTCAGTCTGGGACACATGGACCAGGTCCCTCAGCCTGAGCCAAACGGACCACATCCCATGGACCAGGTCTCTCAGCCTGGGACACACGGACCGCATCCCTGGACACATAGACAATACATATCCCTAGCCTTACACAGAAGGACTGGGTCCCTCAGCCTGGGACACATGGACCAGGTCCCTCAGCCTGAGCCAAATGGACCACATCCCATGGACCAGGTCTCTCAGCCTGGGACACATGAACCAGGTTCCTCAGCCAGCGCCACACGGACCGCATCCCTGGAGACATGGACCAGATCCCTCAGACTGGGCCACATGGACCAGGTCCCTCTGCTGGACCCGGTGGTACCAGGTCCCTCAGTCTGAGACTGGAAGAAGCCCTCAGTCTGAGTGAGTGGGGCAAGCTTCCTCAGCCTGAGCAAGTGGGAACCAGGGCCATACGCCTGAGCCAATGGAACCAGGTCGCTCAGCAGAGGCCAATGGCCCAGACAGACCCACTGGGACCAGGTTCCTCTCCTGGAATCACCACGTCTCTCAGCCTGAGACCTGCAAAGGCATCCCTCAGCCTTGGCCACTGTGACCAGGTCTAGCCACTTGGACCAGGTCTAGCCACTTGGACCAGGTCTAGCCACTAGGACCAGGTCTCTTGGCAAGAGCTGCTTGGACCAGGTCTCACCAGCCTCAAAAGGCCGATGTAGGGTAAAGGGGTCCCCAAGAGCCGATTGGAACCAGGTCCCTCAGCAGAGGCCAATGGCCCAGACAGGGCCACTGGGACCAGATTCCTCTCCTGGAGCCACCAGGAATAGGTCTCTCAGCTTGAGACCCACAAAGGGATCCCTCAGCCTTGGCCATTGTGACCAGGTCTAGCCAGTTGGACCAGGTCTCCGATCAAGTGCCACTTGGACCCAGTCTCAGCAGCCCTAAGTGAACCCCTCTGTAGGGTAAAGGTACTAAAGGAGGCCCCACAAGAGCCCACTTGGGCCAGTCAGGACTCAGGCGCGTTGCAGCGACTTGGATCAGGCAGGTCTTGCAAACTCAGTCGGAGCTGCTGGGACCCGGTTCCTCCCTTGGAGCTGCAGAGATCAGTTTTCTCAGTCACAATCGTCAGGTGAAAAAGCGTCTCTCGTTCTCAGGCCAGCGGGATTGGGCTCTGCAACCTCAACCTTTGTGCCTGCGCTTCAACATCTGCGCCGCCGGGCTCGTCTCCGTCTGCACTTCTCTGCGTCTGAACCCCTCGGCTTCGGCAATTAGGTAGGTCACCTAGTGTACAAAGACTGGTGGTATTCCATGTGCAGGGCGTGAGGTGAGACTCGTCATAATCCGCCAAGGAAAGGCAAAAATAATAAAATATAGCATGTTCCGAAAGCACTATTCGGNTAATCCGCCAAGGAAAGGCAAAAATAATAAAATATAGCATGTTCCGAAAGCACTATTCGGGTTTGATAAATGAAATACAGCCGCCTTCTGCATCTAGACAAAGGGAAAAAAAAAAAAAAAAAAAAAAAAAACCATCTTGATATATGACATAAGGCTGCTGAAGAACACCGTGTGCCGTCTTGATAGATAAAAAACAAGGCTGCCTAGGAACACAGCAGCGTGAGACTGCTCGCCCGGCTACAGAGAGTCATCGACCTGTAGAGTCTTTGGAGTCGGGGGAGCTGTATAGTGCTCTTCTCTCTTCCCACTGGGCAACCATTTTTTGGCAGGGAAGCCCTATAAACCCTTAGGTTCTGGCGATGGTTTTTTTTTTGTAGTGACTTTCAGACCAAAACAACAACCGTCAGTCGCCTATGAATCAAGACCACCATAGTGTCCAGAAGCGGCTGAAAACAGCCTAAGCATGAGTAAGCCCATAGCCTCTGCGTTCCTTTCGGACGCAAGTTCCCAAAGTCTTTTGAGTTCCGAAGGGTTTTTTTTTTTTTTTTTTTTTCCCATCAAGTCTGCACCAGTCTGAGTCCCAAAGGCTTTCACTTCACAACTTCAGAAGTAGTTTCTGGAAGGAAAACGTGAGCAGTGTGCACCTATGCCTGAATCTGCTGACCTACGCACCGCAAGCTCCACGAGGATCTGAGCGGTTCCACAAGGATCTGAGCAGTTCCACTTGGAACTCGGCGGTTCCACTTGGAACTCAGTGGTTCCACTTGGAACTGGGCGGTTCCACGAGGATCTGAGCAGTTCCACTTGGAACTCAGCGGTTCCACTTGGAACTCGGTGGTTCCACTTGGAACTCGGCGGTCCCAGACAGAACTCACCAGTCAGTCACATAGCCAGAAATGGATGTGGTGGTAATTCAACAGTCGTGTTTGCTCTCAGGGGAACATCCCCTGAATAGACTGTACTGTCACTATATATCCGTATTTGGGCCAACTCGAAGTCTAGATTCAAGCTATCATTTACCGTATGTTTTATTCGGGTGAAGGAGGTAGGAAGTCCACAGTCACATTCGGGCGGGCGCTTCTGGACGCTATGGTGGTCTCGATTCATAGGCGACTGAAGGAAGCGAGAAGTTGTGTATGTGAACGGAAGCACCCGTGCACAGGAATGCGGCAGAAGCAATCACCAGGGGGAGCATGAGCCATAGCCAGGCCATGTGACTGAGTGGTATGCACATGCAACTGTTCTTGAACAGGTCATGAGCTCAAGTTCTGAAGGAATCAGATGATGGATCTGATTAATACGGGGCTAGGGGCAATGTGAGGTCCACAATGGACCGCGGAAACTGATCAGACCTGCATAATACGGTTTATAAAAAGGCAGGCATCGGGGGCATGACGGACGCACAGCGAAGCATGCTGCTGAAGAGTAGAATTGTGTAATGACGTAATCCCATCGGCAAACCCCTCCTCGACCAGAACCCGGTGCACTCAATTGAAAGGGCCTCGCTCCACTACTCGACATTCTACATGCATTCCATGCCCTTTCTGGACCAGGTGCATTCGAACGAGTCCAACAAATAGCATTGTGTAGTGGAGCGAGGCCCAGAGACTGAGTTATCTGAACCCGGGCATAAATCAAGACAGCCCTGGGCTATCCTTTCCTAGAGGAACTCTCTTCGAAGGGTGGTGGGGTGTCATCGTGCCACAACGAGAAGGTTGTGAAATCCGACATCTACAAACCAGCCTAGCTCAGTCGATACACCCCCCCTCAAATGTTGAAAGATGAATCAGACCCAAAGTTCGAATCCAGATACAACCAGATGATGACCAGAATAACATAATTCTGAATTACCTCTGGAGCCAGTCAGCTTCAATGGTGATATATCAAGGTTGTTGCCCTTCTATATAAGAAAAAGAAGGGATTTTCTAAAAGAAAAGAACAAAACAATTCCAACATCCGAAGGATAGGAAAACACGACCGCGGCAACAGAAGCTGCTGTGTTTGCTTCTTCTCTGTTTTCTCCTTGCTGGTTGAGGAGAATACGTCACGCTGTCAAATTCATGCTTGTCCTCGTCCCTGGCATGCCCTTTCCTAACGGCAAACTTGTCGTCTATGGAACCGTACCCTCTGCTCGGTAACCCTCCTCGTATCATTCCATCGCTCCGCGCCCTCTCCTCTTTGCAGGGCCTCAATCCAGCACTCGCCAAGTGCGAGAAAGATGCAAGGAGGATGCAAGAAAGAGCCTCGATCCACCACTCGCCAAATGCGAGAAAGATGCAAGAAAGATGTGAAAAAGACAAAAGAAAAATGGTTAAGTGTACCTTTGTACCTTCTAGCTGAGGAGACACTCGCAATTTCGCACATTCGGTGAGTAGTGCAGCGAGGCTCACAGTGTCGACAACGTGAGAGCGTGAACGCTGCCAGTTGCACCATCCTGATCTGGGAGGCCACCTCATTTCTCTTCCCTCCCATTTTGCACGTTCGGTGCGTAGTGCAGCGAGGCTCGACAACGTGAGAGCGGGAACGCTGCCAGTTGCACTGTCCTCATCTGGGAGGCCATCTCACTTCTCTTCTCTCCCCTTTCTCTCTAATACTTCTTTCTCCTATGCAGTTCCCTCGTCACCAAAATACGACTCAGGCCTGCCAGGGGATCCGCCTGTTAGTATCCTCATCATCACCCTGGAGGCGAACCTCTCTCGTGCTCTCTTCTCCTTCGCAGGCTCTCCCCAATGAGCTCTTCCGCCATAATGAGCTCTTCCGCCATAAGCCCAGGTTCCGGTCAAATTCTGCTCGGCTGTATTGCTTCTTCTTCTTCTGCCTGCACCAAAAATAGAACACAAAAGGGGGAATCCAGCACAGTGGATAGACAGGAGCAGTCATCGAGCTGAAGAAATGGGAAGAAGCCCGAAAAACATAAGACGGAACAACATTTTACTTTTATTTCAAATTTGGTAAAGAATTTGGGTGTAATGCTGAGGCAAATGTTGTTCAGTTTATCTTTCTGCATAACATTTTTTTTTTCCAGATTTTTTGGATTTCCTTTTATTTTCTGTTTTTTTTTTTTTTTCTGTATTTGAAATTTGAATCTAACGTACCCCGTACGTTATATTCGTATACAAGGTACCTACATTTTTTTCAGGTTAAACCACCAGTACTTCCTAGAGTTGTGCCCTTTAACGCGCCACCATTTTAGGAACATACGGGCTACTACAGGAGCGTCCAAATTCATCCGACTAGAAACGTTTCTACTCTTTTTTCTTCCGCGGCCGATAGCTGGGCCAAGTACTGGTGGTTTAAGAAGGTAGTCTCCCTTCTAAGCCGCCCATTGCTACTTGACTTTGGCTACCACGAGCCTAGTCTCCCTTCTAAGCTGCCTGCTTCACAAGACCACACACAGCACAGGGTTAGTAGTACCTAGTACCAGCGCCCGTGGGCCAAAACACACCCACACCCACACAGCACCCTCGAGCACACACACACAGGCACTCGGACAGCCAACCACACAGCACACGGCCTTAGCCAGCAGAATTCAAACAAGCACACAGAATGGTGGCAAAAAACTCGGAAAAGCACAAGATTCACAGTCTGCAATTTTGCAGGTCGTTACATCACCCCACCCCACCCCCCCCCCCCGCCCCCCCCGCTTAAACCACCAGTACCTCGCCCAGCTATAAAAAAAAGTCGCGGCCGTTAACGCGCCGCAACTTTCAGGGGTCGGGGAAACCAACGCCCGGTCGGTGCAATTTCCCCAGCAAAAAAAAAAAATCTCGAAAAAAGAAACTAAAAAGCATATTCTTCGTAAAAAAAAGAAAAAAGAAAAGAAAAGGGAAAGCGCGCAGGGGACGGGAAAAGAGAGAGAGAGAGGGAGAGAGAGAGAGAGAGAGATTCGCGGGCTCTCTCTCTCTCTCTCTCTCTCTCTCTCTCTCTCTCTCTGTGTGTGTGTGGTGCAACATGGGAATGAATCTTCCCGCAATAGCAATATCGGGAGGATTCATTCCCATTTTTGCACCTTGTCCTCTCTCTCTCTCTCTCTCTCTCTCTCTCCTGTCTCTTATACACATCTAGATGTGTATAAGAGACAGGGTACACACTCATAGTTCGAATCCCGATGGAATCAAATGGAGTAAACTCATTCACACACACACACACACACACAAAAAAAAAAAAAAGAGGCTGA